TGCAAGGGAAGACCTTAGTATCTGAGCACAACTTTTCTTCTCAGGGTTTACAACGTCCACAGCTTTCACTCATTCATCTCTCAGATCAATATTTACAACTTCCCAGTCCTTTGGACACCCTAGAGAGCAAAGTAAATGGTAAGAAGGCACCCTGATTACATAGAATCCTTGCCTTTTTTAATGGAGATCGATCAGCAATCAAATGTAGAGCTAAAGTTATCAAGCCACTACAGGGCTCAGCTCTCTGCCATTTGGAAGGGTAGGGGTATGATTTGTGTTTTAAAATAGCTCAACCAAGTAGATTATGAAACTGATCAATCAACTATTAATAGTTCAAGGTTCAGGCCTTTTTCTTTTTCTCTTTCTCTCTCTCCCTGTCTCTCACACATACATCAATCAAGTAAAAAGTTTGCCATGCCTAAGTAATCTTTCCTAAAAATCTTCTATTGAGGGGCCAGAAATTGGCATTATTCCAAGGGGCAGCAGGTGCAACACTACATTCTACCCTAGAGCTTTTGAACCTCTAAGAAGCTCTCTAAAGAAGTGGTAAAGAGTAAAGTTAGCCTGAAGGATAAAGTAATAATGTCAGTGTATAGTTACAATAAGGGTTCAGTACTGTTTCATTCCCTAACATGCAAGATGAGCAATGGGTTAAAACTGGAGGCACTTTCTTAGTACCCGAGCCCCACCCCCAAGAAAAAAAAACTTCAATTCCCCCCCAAAAAAACTTCAATTCCCCTTCCCTCGCTAAACAAAAACTCTAGGTTTTATACTCCTGTGACCTAGATATAGTCAAAGAGATCATACAGAATGTTCCCAGGAGAAAGAGACCTCAACCCTTAGCTGTTCAGCCAACTTTTCAGCTGACAAAATATCTTTACAAAGGAATATTGAAACAGACATAAGCAGAGGTTTATGGGATGGAAACAGTGAAAGGCCTTAAAAAGATTTAAACTCAGGGCTGAGAAGCTGTGACCACATTGTCTCCACTTCCCATTACTTGCTAGTAATAACATAACCCAGGCTGTTCTCTTAACTCTAGTGCTTTGAATTCCCATAAGGAAAGATCACTTTTCAAAGAAAAAAAAAAAAAAAAAATCAAACACATTTTCCTGTATACTCAATGATGGGTGATGGAGAGGAGTGGGTGAAAGAAAGTAGGGTCAGAAAGGTCATGGGGCTTTTCAATTATTTTACCCAATGTAATAAAAAATATCCATAGTGCAGAGATTGAAGGTATGAAATGCAAAAGAATCCAAATGGTTGTGCTGAGCTGAATTTGGTAAATACCTTCACTGTGAAGACAACATGTTTTCAACCCTAGCTTGCAAGTTGCATTAAATAATGAATGATGTAAATTAGATGCCTTATTTATTAGCAAGTCCAAAGTGGCTTATATAACCACATTCAAAAACTCTGTGGTTCTTCAGTGCATGTGAAACATTATCCAAAGTTCTAGAATGCTCAGTAGAGGGTCTGGAAAGTAAGTATAAGAGTAATCAAAATTGATGCCTTTCTCCGAATCCTTATGAATGCCAGGATTTTTTTTTTTTTTTTTTTAGTATAATCCATTGCAATGGCAAAGCTTACTAAGGTGAGAGGGCCAAAATCAATGTATTAATGGTGTAACATTACAGCTGCTTAACCAGGCCAACAATAAATTTCACATATAAGCTTTGACAACCAAAGTTGCAAGTTTTATTTATGTTGTACTAATAGGTAAAAGGTTGGGCAATCCTACTTCCGTAGTGATACTGCCTCGGAAACCCAAGGAGGGGTCGCTATGAGTCGGGACCGACTCGACGGCACATAACAACAACAACAACAACAATAGGTAAAATATTAGACTGGTCTCCAAATATTATCCCCCAAATCAGAGAACACCACCCAAGAAATTCAGGGAAAGATCACCAATGGTCTTTATAAAACATGTGCAATAAAAAAAAAAAATGCATAACCTACTTTGACCACGACTTTTACCACTTGGATGAGACAGAATTGTCCTTTGCAATGCAGTTTGGCACTAGAAACAAGTGAGACTTAAATGGCCAGTGACATAATTCTAACAACAGGCTTCCTTCGAATTCCTCTTATATTGTGACAATGGTATTGCTTTAAAATTTAATTTAGCACTGCTGTGGTGTAACCATAAGAGCTGTTACTTACCAGTAGTGTGGTATTAGGCAGGTGTGATATATATGTATAGAAAAGTATGGCTCTAAATAAAGATCACATTAATGAGTAGAGAGTACATGACAGATACTGTAATGGGAAGATTTTTAATAAAAGAGGTTCAAACAATGACTGGGAAAAAAATATCTGGTTGGCTTAAAATATGCATGTAGAACTAAAAACATCTCTATATATTTTTTGAAAATGTTCTGCATTGTCTCTCTCCGAACCCTAAAGGACAGAGTGGTTGTACTTTTCCTCCCATATGTAGATATTAAAAGATAGACTATTTTTAAAGGATAGGATAAACTGTTGCTTCAACAAGTTCTTATCACATTTTATTTGCATATGTTACTCCTTTTTTAAAAAGAAAGAAAGAAAGAAACACGTAACTTCAGCTAAACACCATTCAAGTAGAACTTTGAAACAAGTTAGCTGGGGAATACCACTGGTGTAATAACAAAGGGGTCAAATGTGTCATTCGGTTACAACTATAGCTGCTAGCAACCTGCCAAGAATTTAAAAGCTATTCAAGCAAATATTAATATGTCAGATAGAGAACCCAGATGGGGTCATATAAAAATGAGAGTGAAACAAGCCCATCCACTAATGTCATTTAGATATCAAAAAGGCAAAATCTAAAATAATTGTCCAATGTGATTTCCAAACAAGTGTCGTGATATGGTTTACAGATAAAGAGACGGGGGCAGAAACGGGTTGAGATCAGATAAAACAGAGGGACAGACCAGAAAAACACACTTTTTTCAGACCTCACATCTACCCAATCTGGCTAGTGTCACTAATCTAATTCTCTGCCTAAACACATATCCCTACACATCTCTCAAGTCCCGTAGTCTCAATAAAATTTCCAAATCAAAAGGGGAGAAGAAAGGGGGGGCAGAAATGAAGAATGCCATTACTGAATGAATAACCATGACAAGTGCTTTGGTAAATATTGTAAAAATCAATTTTAAAAAGCATTAAAATAGAGCCTGCCATCAGATATACAAGAAACAGCAATGACAATTATGAGGACTGATAAAAGAAACCTCTGCTGAAATCTGTTGATTTCCTATATATCTGGCAGCTAAGACTACTAAGGTTTAAAGTAATAAAACTTTTTTACTTAAAAATAATTTTATTCTTTTTCCTAGATTATGACCTTAGAAATAAGCAGCCTTATCACTTCCTCTAATAGATATCTATCATTCAATACAGAATTTAAAAACAAAACATAACACCTAACTCTATAAAGGCACAGCCCATAGTCTCGAAATAGTCTGAAGGGCTCTGAATTCCATCTGGCTTCCACCATCTGATACTAACACACACACACACACACACACACAAATCTTGTGAAAATGACAAAGATCCTGAAAAAAGCCACAGACACCTTGGTCCAGTTTGACCATCTTCATCAAGCAGCCCAGGCCCAGGCCAACACAGTTGGGGCACTACCCACCATTCCTCTCCGGTCCTGCATGCTGCTCTCCTTGCCAAAAAGATTGAGATCCTGTCTCCTGGAGCAGCCTGACAGTTGGTGGCTCCAACATATCTCAGCTTTGCTAGGCCTGCACATTCCTCTCTGTTCTGTTGTCATTTCCTTCTGCCTGTGCCTTATAACGTGAGCATCACCAACGGAACAGCAGCAGAGACTAGGAAGATCTCTTACTTACATTTAAAGAAAAAAAAAAAAAAGCAGGTTATCTTGGTCAACTATGGTGACAGAAACAGGATTGTGTGTTTTCTGTGTGTGTGGGGGGGGGGGGGGAATGCATGCGCACTCGCCAACCGGAAGGCCATAGCCCAAGCCCTACTTTTAGCTCTGCCTATTTCAGTGACAAGCACCTTAAGGAAAATCGGCAGAAACTTTGTCTTACAATCCTCTGCACGGATGAATAAAATCTCATGTTAATGAAATGACAGAGTCCTTAGAATAAAATAACACCTCTAGCAACGGTGACAGAGAAATGCCAAGGACAGGACTGGTAAATTCCTGCTTGGTAATTTATTTGTCACAAGACATCTGAAGACAAGAAGCAGAAATACACACTTTGGCTTCTCCATCAGACCAGGACAACTCAAACATTTCCAGGGGCATAGGACATAGGGGTCCAATGCTAAAGCCAGTATTTATCAAACTACAATACCCAGATCTATCATCCAATCTAGTCCCAGGAAATAGTTCAATGGGCAATCAAGATTTATAATCCAAACTCTCCAAATTATATCTCTGGGAAGTCAAGTCCAAATTAAATCAGAACAGGCTTTTAGGCTTCCAACTATCACATTTTCTCATTGGAGTGAATGCATTTCAACACTCAGAACTTCTCCTCTTACAGATCATTTTCAAGGCCATCTCTGGATGCAATCTTCTAAGCAAAATCTGATATATGAAATGAAAAGGGAAATTGGTTAACCCCAAACCTCAGAGAAAGACACTAAGGGAGAGACCTCCTTCAACAGATTTCATAAAGTTAATTATTTTAACCTCCTTTCTATTAAATATTACTGAAATTCTAACCCAACCCAGAGCACCTTACAAACAAAAACGTCCAAGACTAAGTTATTGTATGTATTTATAAAAAGCCTAAAGCACACCCAGCAGGGCTTTGAAATATAAAGTGCATATAGAATTCTATATATGCAATTTTTAAAGTGTTACACTTTTCCCTGGGTTAGCAGCCCCAAGCTAGTTAACTGACAGATAGCCCCGCTCTCCATCTCTTATCATTTGACTTCTCCCCAGACTCTGAAAGTACCCGCCTGGCAGGCCCAGGCCCTGGGGCTGAGGAGGGAAGGAAGAAGGAAGAACACCAAAAACTCACATTTCGGTGATATTCTCAGGGTCTGCACTGTTAAGCTCCAACCTTGGAAACGCCACGATACCCGGAGAAGGGTCGCTGCACCAGATCCGAGAGGTGCTGCATTTGCAGGACGTAGGGCAGGCGAGCGCAGCCCTCCACAAGCCTACTACCAGCCAGCAGAAGCCCCAGAGCCGCGCCATGGCGGGGACATGCCACCTTGTCCAGGACGACATCCCTAGCCGCCAGTGCCAGTCCGAGTCAGCCCGAGTGGTGTCCCCGCCCTGCACCGGTCGGCCTCCTCTGCCAGCTCCTGGCGGCCTTCCCCCGTGTGCGCTGGTCCCTCGATTCCTCGGTACTGGTAGCAGGCGCGCAGAGCCGAGCGTCTCCCGGGCTGAGAGTGGCACAGTTCACAGTGGCTGGGGCATCGCGGGCCGCCACACAGGGGGCGCTACCGCCGCTCCGAGCTTCGCCGCGGCCGCCGCTGCATGGCCTGGCGCGCTGGGCACCGGCCGGCGGCGCTCCCGGGACTCACTGGGGCGCAGGCTCCTGGTTAAATGCGCAAGGGAATCCCGGACACACCTCGAGGCTAAAGACAAATAGACACACTTGAGCCTGAGCTCTAGACCCCAGATGCCACGAACTGGAGTACTCTCCTTTCGCCCTCTCCTTAACCCCACCACGACCCCAGCCGGGAGACAGTGGAAGGATAAGGGCCCCGCTCCGACCCCCAGAAATCAACTTGCCCCAAGATGGCACTGACGCCGCTGGGGCAACCAATGTGCCCACCCTCTCTTAAAGCCTTAGTCCGCGGGAGCGGAGGTAGGGCAAAAGTCCCTAAGACAGGATTGCATGGCACAGGCCGGGCGAAGGACCCTCTAAAAGGGGGACTCGGAGACTGCCAGCGGGCGGCGCTGGCTCCGCGACGGAGCCCCCGAATGATGCTGCAGAATCCGCCACCGCCGCTGGACGCTGGAGGCGCGGGCAGGTGGCGCGGCCCGTCCCACCTGGGGAGCCGCTGAGGCCGCCCCAGGGGGGATAGTGAGGGCCGAGGCCGAGGCGACCGAAGACACAGCCCGCGCTGCTCACCCAGGCTCCGGCGCCTCCCGCCCGCCGGCGGCGCCTGGGTCCAGGCTCCTCCCGCCGCCAGAAACTGACTGAGCCGCGAAGAGCGCGAGTGAAGGAGCGAGCGAGCTCCTGCTCAAAACCAATTCCGGGAGCTGCCGCCGCCGCCGCCTCTGCTACTGCTGGCGAAGTGACGTGAGGGCTGACGCAGAGCAGGGGCAGAAACTCCAGAAAATTAGTCTGCAATCCAAAAACACACACGCTTATACACACACAAACCCCTAACACCCTCCAGACAAAAGCAACAGGGAGGGGAGGAGAAGAGAATCTGGGGGCGAGCGAGGAGGAGGGAGGTACGGGTGCCACTGGCCAGAAGCAGACAGCAGCAGCATGTGGGAGTTCACACACGCGCGCACACACGCACACATCCTGGTCGTGTAGACGCGCGCGCCTGTGTGTTTGCGTGTGTGCGTGCATTTAGATCCAGGTACCTCTGAGATGAACCATTCCTCCAACCGACGCCACCCAGTCCCTAATTTACACTGCGGTCTCTTCTACAATCGCAGTAGAGGCTGTCTCCCTTTTTGACATGGAAACCGGGCTCGGTTTAGCTGAAAAATGCTCTGATTCTTATTATAGGAATCCTTTCTCCTCCCTTCTTTCTTCTCCCTCCTCCTTCCTCCCCGTTGCATTCTCCTTTCCCATCCTGCCTTAGAGGAAGGGTGAGCTAGCCTAAAAATAAATAAATATTGCAAATACCAAAAAGTATTCTGCACTGGTAACCAAGGCTCACTGCCCCCATTCTGAGCCACCTATTTGGGGATCGGTGGTTTGGGAAGATCTTCCAGTTAGTATTTTTGCAGAAGACTCTCTGGGTTCTCTCAGTGGGTCTTTTTCCTGATCATTCTGGCATCACACGCCCGGGATGTAGAGCCATGTGAGGGAAAGGGAACTCGCCTGACGTGTATTGGGTTTCCTAAATGCGCGGAAGCAGCGGTGGCCTGACATGTGTGGCGTCGCGTCATTTTCTCTTATTCTTTAACCTGGCAGGACGCAGCCGTTCCCAGATTGCAGCTTCACGCCCCACGAGGCCCACCCACACTTGGAGCACCCAGCGCGCGTACTCCCCTTCCGTACCTTGCGCGTGTTCGTGTGTGCGCGGGTGTACGCGAACGCGTGCACTGCGCCCGCGCTCCCTGGAGCACCACATGTATCCAACTACCCAGAAGCCCAAGGCGGACAGAGCCCGGGGTCTCACTAGGGACAAACGAGGCGATCCGGGAGGGTCGAGTGATAAACCATAACTGCTTTGCCAGCGCAGGTAAATGATGGCTGCGGGGCATTCGCGACTTCTGTCTGAGAATCTGTCTTCCCATTTGCGGCTCTGAGAGTCTGTTTTTCCGCAGTCATTTAAAAGGGAATTGGGAAAATGCACCGCAGTCCTTGACACTTCCGAGGGCTCTGGTGCCCCCGCGCGGGGAGAGAGCGCCCGGCAAGCTCCAGAACCAACCCTCCGCGGGCAGCCGCAGCAACCACCGCGCTGGGGGCGCGCTCTGGTGCCAGATGCGCCACCAGCGGCGCCAGACGCGTGCGCGCCTCGGCACTGCTGACTCGGGCTCTGCTAGCCTTGCCCTGCTCGTTCATCGGATAAAGGCGGACGGCCCTAGGAGCGAGAGAGGGCGACGGACTGAGGACTGCACCAAAAGATAAAAATGGTCATTGATCTGCCAACATAAACTAGGGATGGGAAGGATGGAGAAATCCAAATGTGAGGGTGAATGTTCAGATCTCGGTGACGCCTTTTAAAATATTACTAGGGAACGGAAAGCATCCAGTGGGGCTTTTGTACAAACCCCGGGCGCTGAATGTTAGCCACGGAAATGCCAGAGCAGCCACCTTGACCTGCCTTGACACGAAGAACAGCCAGGCTGATGAAGTTCATTCCTTCGCTTGGCCTCATCTCCTACCTGGGTGGGGATAATCTAAGGAAGGGAAACGGAAGGCAAAGATGTCTTGTTTCAGGTCACACAATAAAATTCCACTTTTCTTGCTAGTGTCTTGAAGTAGAGCTATCTCTTCGGAACTCCTGGCGTTGGGTCGGGAGTTCATAATTACTCCCATCTCTCTCACACTCTCACCCTCACCCTATGTTCTTCAGAATGCCCTGTTTGCGCCCTAGTGGCTGCAAAGTGACAATGCAGCATCCGAAGGTCTGAGTTTTAGAGTGGATTGTAGACCTGAAGATTCTAATTATGTTCCAATATTTTTAGCATTCTTTATATCATCTATATGGGAGCTCTGGTAGCGTAGTGCCTAAGGCACTTGACTGCTAACCAGAAGGCTGGCGGTTCAAACCCACCAGCCACTCCTCGGAAGGAAGATGAGGCAATCTACTTCCATAGCGATCCTGCCTCGGAAACCTAAGGAGGGGTCGATAAGAGTTGGGGCCGACTCCATGGCATATAACAACAACATATCATATATATACTATTATGTTTAGATCCTAAGTCTATACCCCTGAATATCTCCCACTTAAAATTAAAACTGGCAGACCCCACTTCTAACCACTTTTCTCCCATAGTATTTATGGCCTTTTAACAGATCATTTACGTGTGTATTATATTCATTTTTTATTGTATTTATCCCAGTAGAATGTAAGCTCCATGAGAGCAGGGAGCTTTTATCTATCTTGTTTGTTGGTACATTTCAAGGTCATTGTAGGTATAATGGAGCTCGGTGTGTAGTGGTTAAGGCGTTTGGCTGCTAACCAAAAGGTCGGTGGTTTGAACCCTCCAGCTGCTCTGTAGAAGACAAATGAGGCAATCTGCTTCTGTAAATATTTACAGCCTTGGAAACCCAATGGGGGTTGCTATGAGTCAGAATCAACTCCATGGCAGTGGGTTTGATTTTTTCTTTCTTTCTTTTTTTTTTTAATGGATGTTAAAATATATTTGTGTGTGAGTACTTAGGGAGCTCTGGTGGCATAGTGCCTAAGGCATTTGACTGCTAACCAGAAGGCTGGTGGTTCAAACCCACTAGCCAATCCTTAGAAAGCAGATTGAGCAATCTACTTCCATAATGATACGGCCTCAGAAACCCAAGGAGGTGTCACTATGAGTCGGATCCAACTGGACGGCAGTGTGTTGCGTTGCATTGTATTTAAGGAATACATTAAATAAACTGAAATTGTGATTCCTCAAACAGATCCTGATCACTCCCACTTCCTTAATCTCTGACCCTGCAATGACTTCTGAATACGACAGTCTTCCTATCACCTCCTCAATGTTCCTGTCACTGTCACAATCTCTGAATCTTCCTTGTGCTCTAAATTTTCATAGCACTTCATGAAGCCATGGGCGCTCTGGTGGCATAGTGCCTAAGGCATCTGACTGCTAACCAGAAGACTGGCGGTTCAAACCCACAAGCCACTCCTTGGAAGGAAGATTGGGTAATCTACTTCCATAGAGATACCACTGCGGAAACCCAAGGGGTGTCGCTATGAGACAGAAACAACAGCACGGCAGTGACAGGTTTTTATTTTTATTTTTATTTTTTTTCCTGTCATGAAGCTTTAGGGCTGCATTCCATACTAGCCAGGTATGCTCCAGTGCTGGGGCAGGGAGGGCCTCTCTTTGATCCATGCTGGTAGCTCAACAGTGTGTAAAATGCCTGAAACATATGGGGCAATTACTTAATATTTAACTGAGAGAATAATGGCTGTGTCTCAATTTTAAAATATTTAAACCTACAAGGTATTTTGCAGACATTATTTCAGGGATTATATGCCCTCTATAGCAAATGAAACAGGTAATTTTCCCAAGGTGATGTAAATCCTTCAAGCCAGGAATGAAGATGAAGTTTTACAGATTGCTACCTGTACTGGAAGGTACAGAATCCTACCTGTATTGGAAGGTGGTTTACTGGAAGAATTCTCACTTTCCATCTGGGAAATCCAGGTTTGATTCCTAACCAATACAGCTCATGTGCAGCCACCTCCATCAGTGAAGGCTTGCATGGTCCTGTGATGTTGAATGGGTTACAGCAAAGCTTCCAGACTGAAATGGACTAGGGAGAAAGGCCTAGCAATCTAAGTCAGAAAATCAGCCAATGGAAACCCTATGAATCACAAGGGTCTGATCTGAAACTTATCCTGGGGAGGGGACAGGACTGGGCATGGGGTTGTACGTGGGGTCACCATGACTCCACAGCAACTAAGAACAATAGTCTATTCCAGACCATGATACACCTCGAACAATTTCGATCATGACCCTCAATAAGAAATGTCTTTTACATTTCTAATTTTACATTTTATAATGCAGTACACACATAAAAAAAAAATCCTAACTCATTGCCGTCACACTGCTGTTGAGTCGAATCAGACTCATAGCAACCCCTCCTGGGGTTTCTGAGATGGTATCTCCACAGAAGTAGATTGCTCAGTCTTCCTTTTGAAGTACACACATGCATATATACAAATAACTGAACAAAGTTTCACAAAACAAAACTTATTTACCGTTAATATATGCAATGCATATTTTCTTTTCTATATCATTTTGGTTTCCTTGTTTTTATTTTTTTAGTAATATTTTTTTGTGTTTTCTGTGTAACTTTACACAGCAAATTAGGTTCCCATTTGATAATTTCAGATTGGGCAATCTATTTCCTTAGAGATACTTCCTCGGAAAACCAAGGTAGGGTCACTATGAGTCGGAACCGACTCCACGGCAGTGAGTTTGGCTTTTTGGTATACAAATTTCTCAGTGCCATTAGTTACACTTATTTTGTTTTTTTTAATGTTTACCACAACCCAATAAATTGATTTCAACATCTAATACTGGTTGTAAAAAAAAAAATAATAATAAAAAGCCAGCTTATACTTGTGACAAAGATGGGGTAATAGGGAGCAGATTTACCTTCACAGCAAAATAATCGAAGCATCTCTCTTTGATATATGAAAATATACCAAAATATAAGAAACAACAGTTTTTATGACAAGGGATTAAGACAGTGAAGGACAATGTTCCTTGAGGGATAGTGTTTTAGGCTGGGTTCCTAAGAACAGCAAAACCAGTAAAGATTTGTTTCTCTGGTAGCATAGTACCTAAGGCATTTGACTGATAACCAGAAGGCTGGTGGTT